ATCGTTGAATTACGAGTGTTCTTTACCCTTATATAGTTTTACTTTGACCCTTGGACAATTTTCAAATTGTTATTCGCTCGACTTCTTTCATTGAATCAGTAATATATATATATATATATATAAAATTCGACGATTTTCGAATAATATTTTTTTCATTTTAGTCGAGTTATACGGGGTCGATATATATATATGTATGGGATCAAAAGATGTCGTGGACAGACTTATATATTTTCCAAGGGAACAGTGCAATTCCTTTACATTCCTTGTAAAGTCTTCCTCGTGTGTAGCGGATCGAGAATAGAACGTGATTCGCGATATAAAATATTCCTTGGACCGCCTTGTCTTCCTGTTTCCGTGGACAGGAATCCGGCGATGAGTGCAATTCAACCGTGGAGTGCCTTGATTCGCTAATCTCGATGATTCTTCCATCGCGAACGAATGAATTGGATTTTTCATTTTTTTTTTTAATTTTTATCATCGAAAAATATTTTACTATTGTTAGTTTTCGATTCTTACGTTACGATTATAGAGATATACAATCAATTTTAATGAGAATTGATTACGAAAAGTTTGGAGGAAAGTTTCAGTTTTCGAAGAATGCGCGGGATTCTGAGATTATCGATTTGGACGCAAATCGGATGAAATCGGACGAGAGAACTCGTTCGTCGACGCCCGAAGCTTTATCGAAATTCAGTTTTCCGCGTCACGAGACGATTTGCACATTTTTAATCTGTTTGTAGATTTAATGTGGTCGAGATCGAGAATTATAAAAACTGAACTGAAAAATTATGAACTTTTTATGTATATAACTTCTTTTCATTGGTTTTTTTTCTTTTTTTTAATTTTCAAATTATCAGATTGCTAAAAAAATTTTTGACTTACCAAAATAACAATGAATATTTGATATCTATTTATTTTAAAAATAGATAATTCAATAGATATTTCAATCCATTTAACGAAAAGTATATATTTTAAGAATCGCCATTTAAATTTGATAAAATTAAACTATATTCAAGAAGGTAATTTTCTTTTTTTTTTTTTTTGTTGTGCAAAGGGATAAAACAAAGTTCGATCGAATTTTAATTTCGAACTTTAAAATCGAAAACGAAATTAAAATAGACATCGATGGGATGTTTCATAATTAAAACAAATGAGGAGGATTAAATTTGAAGCGAAATAGCGATAGACGAACGTTCGCGTCGACTATCGAAATATTTAATGATGCATTTTCAATCGATCGCAATCGATATTCGATTGACAATTTATATTCGATATATTAGATTTTCGTCCGAATAATATAGAAATGAGAAATGTGACGAACGTTATAGTTGAAATAAATATATAATGATAAGACGACGTACAATTTGAAACGATGAATGTTCATCGTGTTAAGTATAGAAATTATAGATAATGAATAATTTTAGTGCGAACAGAGGTGCGTAATTAATTAATTAAGATTAAAAAAAAATATTTTATATAAAAAAGAATTCGGTGATCGCCTGCGCCTATTTTCTCGAGAGAAAATTATATGAATAGATTGAGATATAAATCATATATATATATATAAATATATTTAAGAACTTATTTATAAGTTAGAATATTTTAAACGCGAGATATAGATTTGTACATTATATTTGTTAAAGAAATTTTATTTACTTGGCCATCTACAATGTTGTGGATGGCTCGTTTCATCGTGGTTTTAAGAAAAACACTGTGCAATCACTTCGATTTTTTCTTCAAAGAATGCGCCACATCATATGTAGGAGTAATATTTTATAGTTTTTATTTTACTATGATACTAGGTGCAATGTGATTCGTTGAATGATAAAAGATAAAGAAATTTTTCGAGAAATGAGAAATTCCTCACGAATTGTAAATTTCGAATGATATATTTTTAATCGAATTATTTTTGAAAAATAATATATTTTTAAAGAAAATTCCAATAAAATATTTACAAAGAGAAAGAGTTTCCTTTCAAGGAAATATTGTTTGGAAAAATTTTTTGTGCAAAAATAATTTAAAAAGAATCTGTCTTTTTAAAAGAAAATTATGTAAATAATTAAATAAAAAATTAGTTGGCCAACTCTTGAAAAAATATTTAACTATTTTATTTTATTTTAGATCTCGCAATTTTACGAATCAGATTGCACTTTATATATTCCATACTCGCATTTTATCGTCGAATTTCGATTTTAGGATATGATGTTTCTTCGTGTTCCCATATCTAATAGGTACAAATATCATCGGTAATGTCCACGATCGTGCAAAATTAGGATTAAAGGAGGCATCGACGAATGATTCGCAGAGAATTCTTGTCTCGAACACAAGCGCTGCCATTCGTTACGAATGACGATCTTCGAAAGTAGATTCTCCATAGATGAACTTTTTAAATATATTAATAATCACATAGAAGAAGAAAATATCCGAACGATACCATTTCATTAATAGAAATTTTATTAACACATCGAATGCCATGTGAGTTAAAAGTTATATGACAAAATTATACTTTCTATGTTATAATTAACAAAAAATAGAAAATTGTATTATATTATTATTGATCAGAAATAAGAGAAAACTAATTTTGAAATGTGTTTTCGTAAGGAGAATGATTATATTCGAAATGAACGATTAGCTTGAAAAATTCCAAGAAATGATGAAATAGTTTCTGCCTGCTTTAGTTGGCTATTTCAAGCTCCAAGTTGGACGAAGCTTCGGCGTCTGAAATTTCTATTTTTATGCCGGTTTCAGTGGATCGTTTGAACAATAACAAATATATTTTAGGCAGTACACGTTTACAATCTGAAAGATACTTTTTTGTAAAATAAATTGATAATGTATCTTTGGTAAAATTATTGGTTAAAATAGAGAAACAGTTAATTTTTTTTTAACTTTTCATGTTTTCCAATATATTTTTCATTGAAAATAATGACAGAGCAAAGAAAAATTTTTTACAATCAATTGTCTTGTATTTAAAAAAAAGAAAAGAAAAACCATTTTGGAAGCAAACAAATTTAACTCTCATGGCACTAATTTGTTAAATAGAGATTCGAACGATCTTTTATAGAATAATTACAGGGACCAATAGGAATTCGATGGCGCATCTCTCATTCCTTCGTCGAACGTTTTCGATCACGATCAAGGTTTCTCGCGCGATTTTGCGATATCGTGTCACGTGACAAATTGCTTATGGCTTTGATCCAAGCCTCGATTCAATTAGATTTCGCGTGAACTTCAATTAACTTATCTATCCGGTATAAACCGACCAGAGGGAAAACTTTAAATATGATCTCTTTAGAGCTTGATGAATTCAAGTAACCTAGTTTACAATATTATGATTGGAAAAAATTGTTCTGTCATTTAAACGCATTGAAAATTGAAATTTGGAAATTTCAAGATTTTCTTAGGTTCGTATTTCAAAAAAAAAAAAAAATAGGTTTTTGTACGAATTTGATATTTTCACACATAGTAAAAATCTTAAAAAAAACCAAACTGTCGTGTCGTGTGTGTATATATATTATAATAAATTTATCCAGAAGCATAAGTTATTTCTACGTTATTTTTACGTCGTGAATATATCGTATTCATGGTGAAAAAATGGGAAGTGCGTAAAAAAAGAGAACACTGACTCAGTGTCTATCAATTAAACTTACGTCTAAGCATATCCACGAACATGGATATTCTTACCGGCTTAAAGACCGATGTGTTTAACAGTGTTTCTTTAAAGGGGATATTATTCCTCGCGTTTTTAAGTTATGATTGGCTTCCTTGGTTTATTCAATTCCTTCGATTCCTGTATTTAATAAAGGAATTATAATATTTTCAACAAAAAAACAGAACAATTTTTCGAAATTCTTGGAATTTAAAAATCTCCAAGTTTCTTTTTCTCAAAATTTCTCGAATCATCTCGAATTTTTGAACTCTCGATACTTTCAAATTCAAAAGAAAAAGAAAAAAAATACCATTTCTTTTAAATCTTAAATTTATAGAAAAAGTGCACACATCCATATTATACGATTATTCGTGGAAATATCAGTAAATTTACGCGAGGAAACCTCACAGATCGTTGGATAAGAATCATGGAGCCTGGCACGTAGGTGATCGTAATTTCGTGTGTACAAAAATGCCAATTGAACGCAGTTTTTATCGAGAATAAAAAAAAAAATATATAAGCGAGAGTTAATTTAATATATTCTATGAACGAAGCTTTATATAAATGATCATATATATATATATATATATATGTATATACATATATATAAATATATATCTATACATAAAATATTTCTATATAAACAGATAATATATGTATACACTAAAGAAAATATAGACGCATTTACAAACCTATATACACCGAGAGGTAGGAGATATAATACACAAATAATACACAACACACGCGCGAATTATTTACTAGGTCTCATTTATCGCGAGAAGAAAACCCGATGAATCGTTCGTAAAATTCATTCGTATTCTCTACGATATCGTATGCATTATATTATTTATCCACAGAGTCTATATATATATATATATACTATATATATATACGTGTTAGCTATGCGACGACTTATCCTATTATCCCGACGAGTGTCTTTACGCGATTACGATGATGTACAGCGATAGCCACGTGTACGATGTTACACGTGACCTCATTGTGACTAATTTCGAACGTTGTACTACAAGAAATAAACACATGTGACTTAATATTCTTGCTATGTGTTCTCATCCCGCTAATTCTATTATTTAGTGATCGGATTCGAATGGATTCTTGTCGATTGAATCTCGATTACGACGTAACTTCTGCTTATGCGAATTCACGTTATAATAAAATTCCATTTAATATGAAATTTTTGTTGTGGATTTATATAATTTTTATCTATTCTAATTTCGTTTATTTTTTCTAGGTCTGATTGAATCGTATCGTATCAAGAAGTCATGGATAAGTAAGAAGAAGTGAATCGCAATTGAAATATTTATTTCCAACAATGTGTTCAAATAATGGAATATTTTATAAAAAAAAATTTTTAAAAGAAGTAAAATGTAAAGATTTTCAGTAATTTATTTATTTTTTGAAATAGAAGCGTCTATATGCAAGCAATCATATATATGATCTTTCTTATATATATATATATATCATTCTTATTGGTACAATCATGATAACTGGAAGAAGTTATATTCACGCACAAGGAGACACAATGTAATCTGTGTATGAAAACAACGGTATGAACTAAACGCAAGCATCGATTTCAAAATAAATTGTTCTCTCAAGGCCAATTCCTCACTTCAAATAACTTTATGTCATGCAAGTTAACTCTATCTTTTAGAATTTCATTACATTTCTGTTACTATTATCCTCCTCTGTATGTAGATTCTTAGAATGGATAAAATAAAGTGACTTTGACGTCATCCTTTATATCTTATCGAGTATTTCTATAAGATTTCAGTAAATTACTGCTGAATTAATTTAATAATACAGATCAATTGGAAATTGCATTATTAAAAAATTGTTTTAGTTATTATTATTTTTTAAAAGAAAAACAAGTATGATAATGTTTAATATTTCAATCTGATATTAAAAAATAGTTCTTGCATCAAATTTATTAAATTTAATCAAGTAGATCTTTATAATTGTTAAAGAATTATTGAAATTTAATAATATCGATAATGCTATTCCTATTTTGTTACAAGTTTTCATCTATATTTCACATTTATTTTTAAAACTTCAAAATTCTACGCCTTCTACGTTTATGTTCAATAAATTCGTTAAATTTTAATAGAAAAGAAAAAAAGCGTAACTAAAATACTAAGAATTGTACGAGGAATCCCATTCATTGATCCCAGTTCATTGATCAAGATCCACTTCCTCGATCTGATCCTCCTCCACTCTATCCTTAAGGGTTGTCAAACTCAGGGGTTTTTCCATGTCCAAAACCTCCCCTTCCTCCTTACGGCCTTTTCTTTTCGATCTGTACAAAGGATTCTCGAATCTTCCTCCTGAAGATGAATCTTTTTTATCCGTTTCTTTGCTCTCGAGATTTGATTCACGGACATTAGCGACCTCTGCTATTTGAACGTTACCCTCTGAAATATTTTCAAAACGGGCGAAACCGAATGGTTTGCCAGCCTGTTTCTTGTCCACGTGAACTCCATCCCTTATCGAGGAAAATATTTGTGTGCACCCCATCAGAATTCTGAAAATTATTTAATACGAAATTAATTTTTCTATTCGTTCTTTTTTTTCTTTGAATTGTAAAAATTAAAATATTCTACATTCTTTTCTATTTTTTAAATTTTAATAGGATCCATAAAAGGAGATAGAGATATAGTAGAGTAAGAGAATGTTAATATTTTTAATTCTTCAAACTTTGTAATTTTATTTTAGAATCTTTATTATTATTATGATGGTTGTATTAATTATTTTTTAAATTGAAACATTCAGTTTTTTCTACGTTTTTTCACTTTTTATTATTCACTTTTTCCATTTAGAATTTTGTTACAGTGACATATTCACTATAATTCGATTTTATAGTTTATATTTCGTTGAAATTATATTATATGCGTTCTCTTTACTGTCGATGTGGAGCAAAATGAGAGAAAAAGTTAAAAGATTAACGAATTTTATTTTTTCTTTTAAAAACAAGGTTTTCAAGGAATAGTTGAAGAATTCGATTATGCAGTTTAAACGGTTCTTCTTTAGAAATTTACATTTTTCCCTTATGAATATTTTTTATCAAAGTTCTTTAACTCTTAAAAGTCATCTCAAAAAAGAAATTGCGTTAATATATATTATCGAGCATGAAATTTCATCTCGACATATTTTGACAAAATATTTTTTTATTTAGAAAAATTATTTTTTCAATGATTACGAACAATATTCCATACATTCTATAATGAATAGAATTTTTATTCATAGTTTCAAATATTTATATATATAATAGAATTTAAAAAGATTGCAAATATTATTTTCTTCTTCTTTCCTTTCTTTTCTCGTAATCTGAAATTTTATCTCGTAAATCATTCGATTAAAATATATATATATGTATATTTTCTTTATATCTTCATTACGTATTTCAGTTTCCAATGATTTGTTAGATAACAAAGTTTAGAAATTGCAGATGTTTCAATATGCAATTCGGTTTACCATGCACAAACGTGTGATATCATATGGAATCGAAGCAATCTCTGCTGTTTTCCTGATAGTTTCGTCTCTTCAAATTACACGAATTAATAAAGATTTCCCCGTCTTAAGTTCGTGAAGAATTCGTGAAGAATTCGTGACTAATTACAACAATTAATCAAAATAACATCAATCTTTTCAAATTGGAGATGTAATTCTTGAAAGTATTTTCCACAATTTCCTTTAAATTCATTTCAAAAGATTCATTTTAACAAGGAAAACAAATATTCACATTTACTCCTCTTTTCTTTACAACTTACGAACAAATCAAACTTGCAAAAAGAAATAAAAGCAAAATTTATGTTCACAAATATGATATGTTGAGATCTCGGATAAAACGGAGATCTAAAAGTGCAATAAAAAAAATATATACCAATAAATCCTCACTGTAATTCACCACAGTGAAATATCGTCCAATATCGTGACAATTAAAAATTTATCCAACTTCTTTTTTTTCTTTTCTTTTTTTTTTTCTTTTTTTTAGACAACGTATCTCGTTTCGACTCTCGTCTAGAAAATATCCTGAGGGGAAGTTAATTTTGCAGACATCCGGTTCATAGGAGTCGCAAGTGCAGCAAGCAGTTTCCCTCATGTTTCATATTCCGCGTAATTACTTTTTCCATCGCATTTTTCTTCCATTCTTCTTCCCTTTCCTTCCCACAATCCTTCTTTTCCACGTTTTCGTTGTTTCCGCCACTCGACACTATTCGCCATCGACACCCACATGTCGGATATATAAGGGTCAAATGGGACGAGCTTGATATGGAAAAGCTTCATAGCAATTTTTTGCAATGAACTCCTCGTTGAAATACTCATTTCCCGTTCTCCACCCCGCGAAAACGTGCATCGTTCAGCTATTTTTGACGAGTTATTAATTTTGCTCTCTTTCTCTCTCTCTCTCTCTCTTTCTCTCCTTCCCTCTTCCCCCTCTAATCACGATTTCTTTTTTTTTGGCCTTTTCCTTTTCTTTTCTCTCTCCTTTCGTTTTGTTTATGCTAGTAATATTAAGTCATTTTTCGTAGTGCAAATTTTATTGAGAATTTTGAAAATTTGAAAAATCAGTAAAGAAATTTAAAAATGTTGTGATATTCATAAACATTTTAATTGAATTGCACTGTTACATTATACTGTTTAAAAAAAAGGAAAAACTGTTCTTGATTCATATTGATCATAAATTTAAAAAAAATAAAAATAAAAATAAAAAGGACGTCTCTCTTATGCAGAGAGAATAATCTTTCCATTATTTTTCTTTACGATCCCATCGTATCCCATAAATTGTTTAAATTACTATCATCTTAAATCAGCATTATTAAAATTGTTCATCAATCCTCATAAATGAGATATAAAGAAACGAAATGGTTGTTCAAATAAATATCACGATTTTGTTATACGTATACATATGAAATATACACCATATATATACGTTAAGTTTCTTTTCAAGAGATATCAGAAAACTCGTGATACGATAATCAATTTATTACTTACTGTCTGTAGGAATAGCCAAAGTATAAGAAGACGATGAATAAAAGCGCAAGGAGGATCAATGGTGTAACGAACAACGAAGCCAGTGCGACAGTTACGCCATTATTTCGCAAAGCGGCACCGGTTACTTCCACAGAAAAAACCTCGATTTTCATATCTGTCAAGGAAAACGAGAACAAATCAGAAAAAAAAAAAAAATATAAAAAGCGTAATTCAAAAAATGGAAAAAAAAAATAGACGACATTATAATATAAGTCACGGAATTTACTCGAAAGGGTTCTCTTCACATCTTCCAACCCCTCGAGAATATCGATTTCCGAGTAATCGCCCTTTTTCTTTATCAGAACCTCGACACCTCCGTTCCAAGTACGTCTCACGTGCCAAACAAGCTTCTCCGCGCGCCTTTCCAGAGCTTCGTCTGCGGCGGCCTGGACCAACGATAAAGACGTCTTCTCCGTTAAAGACAAACGACCACCGCAATATCTGCAGCAATGCCCTTCCACCTGAATTTCAAGATATCTCTCTTAAGATTTGAGATCAAGGATTTCGATTGATAATTCTTCTGGTAAGATATATATATCGATGATGTTAATTAATTTCTCACTCACCCACAATGGATACTCGCAGGTGGGGTATCCACACTTTGGTCTTTGAATGGCGCAAATTTCTTCGAGGTAGTAACCGTTCGGATCGTCCTGGCAGGAACACTTTCCGCAATTGTATTCCGCGTATCTGTGAGATTTTGAATTATTCCTTAATTGAAGATTTATGAAAATCTAGAATTAAGTGAGTTCAAAGAAGGAATATTGCGAGAATTAATAATCGAAGATTGGAAAGTTGGAGTTAAATTTGAAATAAGAATATTGGTAAGAAGAAAAAATTTAAAAAATTTAAATTTCTATTATACGTACCTCACGGTGGATATACCTTTCTCGAACTCCCTTCCAGTCTCCAAATCTGCCCATTGCCAGCCGCTGTATGGATACTTTTCATCGATCGTTCGAACCGATTTCACTTCGATGCTCTTCATCGGCAAAAGAACACTGAAGATTCGCGTTTTCTCCGGCAGAACTACGGTGTCCTGGCGGCACGGCACCTGCTCGAGGTGAGGCGCTGCTTCCGAGCTCCCGTTCCAATTTTCTGGATCAGCCCAAAACAAGTGACCAGATCTTGACCACTGACTGATTTTCTTTGGCGATTTTCCCGGCTCGGTTAACTTTTGTAATCGGATTAATCATTAGGGATGATCAATATCATTAATGAACGAATAAATCGGGTAAGATTTTTTAAGTAATTTTTATTGAATTTATTTGCTATTATTTTATTTCTATTATTCGAAGCTTTCAATAACAGAAACGATAATTCCTTGGTTCAATTTTGTAGATTATTAAGCGTGAAATGAGAACAAGATCAGAAATTATCTGATTATTTTTACATTCAATTATATACTCTCAAGTAAAAAGATATTTTAAAGACGTGATGAAATATTTTATTCAAGCGAGATAATTCTTAATTAATTTAATTTCGTTAAAATTTATATTTGTTAAATTGTAGTAATTCGCATAACTTTTCTTAATTTATAGATGTTAATAATTTAGTAAATGTCACATTCAACCAGTAGGTACCATTGCATATCTATATCACATCTCGGTGACCTATTTAAATGACAATTTAATTTAGAGATTTGAAGATTATATTTGATAAATATAAATTTCGTTTTCAATATACCATTAGTTTAATTTATCATTGCCCTAATTGTATTAATCCAGAATGACCTACATATCGATGTTAATAATTAATCTGTTTCCATACATTTAAACAAATGAAAATTTACACTTTATCTCTACCTACCTGTAATCTTCCGTTTCTAGATAGGGCCAACGATCCAGTTCTGGCCAGATCAATTCCAGAAAGTCTCAGATTCTCGGATTTCCCAATTCCCACAGCGTGTCTCATGTCCAAAGGAAACGTCACATAACTATCTAATTCCGGTATACGTCCTCCAATCCAATTTTCAGCCGTCTCCCATTCCAAATTTGGGAGCCAATATTTCTCCACCCCAATCGACGATTTTAACATTAACACGAAAAATATCCATATTGTTCGAATTTCGCTGGGGACTCTCACCTTCATATCGAACAAATTCCTTTTTCAAACTACTTTTTTAATCAATTATTAAATTAAATTATTCGAAGATAATTTCAGTTCATTTTTTTTTTTTTAATTATTTGAAGATTTTAGATTCTACGAATTAGAGGAAGTAGTATTAGTGTAATGATAGTGGGGAAAAGTAATCGATATAAAGGAAATAGTGGAATATGTGAAAAGGAATAAGGTAAAAATTTTTGACACAGATATCAAACTAAGCTTGAAACGACTAGGAACGAACGATTGTCGGGCTAAACTATCAGAAACTGAAGCGGGTAATTGGAATCGAAGGGGCGTGCCAGATTTACGATATACTGCTACAGACTTGTTTTATTATCTCTATTATTTAGCTTTCGACGAATTTACTAAAATAACCACTGGTGGAAAATCATTTTTTAAAAAATATATTCACAATATTTTCATACGTATCTAATTTGAATTGGAATACTTTTAATCTAAAGAATTAATACAATGTTAATAAAAAATTTTAAATATTGATATTAAAATGACGTATTATTGCAATTATATTTCGTTTGCAATTTTTTTTTCCATGGAAAATTCTAAGGATAAATAATTTTTTTTTCATCTATATCTAGGTATTATTCAAGGAATTATTAAGCTCCGTTTTTTCCATCTCTTTTTCCTTTTCCTTTTTTTTTTTTTTTTTTTTGAAGAACATTTATTCGTGAAATATTTGAACAAAAATTTAAACAAAGTTGACTTAAAATTAACATTATAAAAATAATATGATAATTTGTGGCGTTTCTTTTATTCGGGTAACAATCAAGTGTTACGTTTAACATTTACATGGGTTTTGGAAATATATTTTTGAATTATATTTAGCCATGTTTTAATATATAAGCAATAATAATTTCGAATTCACAATTGGACACAATTGGATAAAGCACAGAGCTGGGTTAATTAGGCTGAAATCAGGAAAAATTTCAATTTTTTGTTACACAATGATTCTTCGTCTCAAATAAATAAAATTCCAAATTTCGATCCGCTAGAAATTTTCAAGAGATGTTAAAACATTGTTAATGACAAAATATTATATTTTCAAACGTTGTATGATTTCGTGAATAAATAAAGAATGTAAATAGCAGGTTTATAAATGCTTTATTGAAAATTTGTGACAAAAACATGTGATTTGTTATTCGAAATCATGGAAGAAAAATAATGGAATTCATTTTTTATAAATTTCTGTCAACACCAGAACTACCTAGAATGCGTAATATTTAAATATATCGATGATTATAATAATATATATTAGTACATCTTTTCCACGTAGATCTTGCTTGTGCTCTTTTTGGCCAAAATTGGCCATTTGTGCCATTTTGTCACTATATCCCTGATACAATCGTGTTTCTATTCTAAAAAGCTAATTAAATATTCATCATTATAAGTAACATCAGAATATTATTAGAATATTGCCAAAAATATATAGTGTGGCAAAATGTGAGAAACTTGATTACGGTAGTTCTAATGTTAAAAATCTGTGTAACGTCGTATCAGTGATGAAATGACTTATTACATATTATTATTATTATTATTATTATTATTATTATTATTATCAATTTAATGAACAAATTTATCTATACAATAGGAACTTTAATAAATCATTTTCAAATTAATATTGTAAACATTTTGTTTCAAAGGTTTCACAAAAAATTCGGCCGTTTCATTTTTAATATTCTTTTCCACAATCTTCACGTTAATCGTGAATCCAAGCCAATCATACGATCATCCTCCAATGTCTCCAATCGCTGCATTTTATCATAGAAATCAAAATCGATCGAGATAATCCATCACCCAGCTCTGCTATTCATTCATATTATTCATTTTTACAACGTTTTCACAAGAACCAAAGCGAATCGTCGAATGGAATAAAGTCTCGAAGTCAAACTTTTTCTTCAATGAAAATTGAAGAAAAATAAGGAAATAGAAAGTATTTGTTGTTTGCTTGACCGAGCAAAAGTGAAGTCCATGGAATGATTTTATTAGCACTTGAAAGGAATGAAAAGTTACAAGAAAGTTGTTCAACGTTGACAATAATTTTATTGAAAAATTCATCTTCAATGACACAAATGGCAATAGCTTCTTCGACTTTCTTCGAGTTACATTCTTCTTCTATCTTTCTAAGAAGCATGTTGCCTTGGGATGATTAAAAAAGAACACTTTCTTTTGAAGAATAACATTGGAAAAATAAATTTATATAAATTATATCTTATTATTATTGAATTGTCCCTAAGTTAATTAGATTAATCAGATCAAAGAAAATTAATAAATATTAAAAGACAAATATTAAAATACTACAAATGCATCTACAATTTATTTACAAGATAGTTTGTAAGGATAAGCTAATTGTAAGATTGTATTGTCAATTGTAAGATTTTTATACAACAATTGCATTCATTTACCAACGAGAATCGAAGATAAATGTGAGTAATATTCAACATTGATATAAATGTGCAATTTCAAAAAATATGATGCATCTGTATCTTTTCCCTATTTTAATTCGTATTCATTGTTATGTTCCTTTCTTAACCAATTTCCAATATGCATGTAAATAAAGATCAAAAAAACTTCAATTATACAACGATCTTCAAATACAAAAGTTTATCAAAAGAAATTCCTTGCTCTCAAGATGCACTGAAAACCATCAAGTACAATCAAGAAAGAATAATAAGCACCTGGAATAAAAATATATTTGATTCAAGAGCAGCAAAAATTATTGTCTCGACGAGAGCAGAGACCTCTTTACCCGGTCAAGCCAATAAATAGCGAAAAGAACTCGTGTTAAAAGAGAAACGTTGAAACTTCAAAATGTGTCTTTATTGTTGCGTAATCGATATACTTCGTCTGACAATAAAACTCAGCGACATCGAATTGGAGCTACATTGCCGTTTACGTCGGCGACACACCATCGTGACGAGTCGTCGACCGATATTCCCTCGAGGAAGATCCTACTGCGACGAGTCCTCCTCATCTTCGGACATCCTCTTCCCAAGCCCGAAATGATATCTCTGACTGAGCATGTCGGTCGGTCTCTTCGAGCCTAACGGTTGTCCACCACTGTAATGCACCGCCCTCTTCCCTAATCCGAAGCTGTAAGGCTGTCTTCCCCGTTTCTCCTCGAGAAAGTCGTCCGTGTTCTCTTGGGAATGGAACGCGGGATTGTCGACTGGAAGGTAATCCAGGTTCAGTCTGAGTGGATAGTCCGTGTTGTCGTTTCGTTTTCCCAGGCCGAAACTGTACTGTCTTCGTTTCCCAAGGCCGAAGGAGTAGTCGCGCCCTCTCTGGAATAATAGAATGTTCCAAGAATGGAGAAGAGTAAGACCGATTCTTACGTTTTGGTAAGAAAATGCGATGGAAAATTTAAATCGAAGAAAACTCGTGAGAAGAAGATCATGATATATATACAGAAGATTACAAAGGTTTCGAATCGATAGGATCAGAGGATTTGACTTTTAAATCAGTTTTCAGAATCTTTGATACGCCATTAAGATCGTTATAGGCAATATTTTTCCAGGAATAAATATATCTGTTACACAACTCGGCTTAAAACTCGGATTAAATCTTATTAAAATTAAGAAAACTTTAAATCGCTGTAACTCGGAAGATAATGGCTTTAGAGCGATGGGTGAAAGATCGTTAGAAGCGCGGATCCTTCCCCTTTAAAACGCTTTTTGATTTATCTCGATACGACTTCCGGTTCCCGAGATATCGTCGTGTAAAGGAAAGAGTAATTTTCGATCGTTTATTATCCTCGTCCTTGTTGTTTACTCGGACCTCTCGCTCGCCCCTCGTTTCACTGACCTAGCCCAAACTCCAGACAAGTGTCAGACGCGATTCCTGGAAAAAAAGCGTAGTACGCATTTCTAGGAAAAATATGTAGGTCACTAGGTCGCGGGTCCACTTATATTTTTTACCTTATAGCGTCAACCCGTATAGGAACTTTGAATCCTTGTATCTCGAGAACGGATTGAGATATCGGGATAAATCAAAATGGAAATTCAATGGGGTGATTTTCTTTATTTTCTGAGTAGGTTTCGATGACAAAATTCTTGATTATTTCTCACGATTTTTTACATGAAAATTCGAATTTTATGATTTAAAGTATATATACATAGAAATTTAAATTTAATTTGATGTATTTATATTCGTATAGCACAAATAATATACGAATATACAAGTAAATATTATTTTAACAGAAAAATGAAAATGTTGAAAATTAGAGTGAACTATTGATCGTATGTTTTCAGGTTCGAGGATCGTTATGCTTACTATTGCTCCACAATGGATATGGAAATTTTAATAATTGTGATATTCTCACCTTGTTATCATTGGTATCGATCCAACGCTTTCCAATACCAAAGTTGTAGACGGGTAGCCTCTTATACTCGGAAACGTAAGTGTACGCTCTCTTTTCAGGCACGGTATCGTCGAACGCCATAGGATTCAACATATTGTTATAATGTTGAAGATTCATAGACGAGGCTGGTGTTTCTTCCATGGCTAAGACTGATCTTCCCACGATCCCAACGAAATAGAGGAAAGCCAAGCTCGATGTCAGAACGCTTGTCCTGGTCCTCATTCTGTACTTTGCCTCTTTTTAAGCCTGATTTCAAGAAAGAAAAATTCGCAATTGAAATCGATCGTTTCGAAACGATAGTTTAAAATTAAATTCTCAGAGTTGGTGCGCGGATAATTTTATTCACGCAGGGAGAAACATTTTGATTTCAAAGCAAATCTGTTTCCAGATTTCGAATTGAGTTGGAAAATGTCGCGATGAATAGCGACTGACACGGATTCTCGAAAATTGCTTTTCCACGTATCTAATTTATCAAGGATTTGTGGTTTTCCTAGTTCGAATCGAGTTTTATACTTCTGCGAATATTATGCTATTTCGTTCGAAAATTTTTGATTATTAAATTACTAATCCCATTAATTTTGTTATCATATCCTACATCTCTTATATTAAAATCGTCAAAAACTTTAATGAGAAAATATATTTTCAAGAATATTTTATCTTTTCAATACTAACATATTAATTAATGAGACAATTAATTAAATAGACAAATTGTTTATTTAAATTTATCATTGTTGCTCCTGATTCTTTTTATTTAATCTTTTACTTTTATGATGATTTTATTTAAAAAAAAAAATTCTTAAATGATTGCTTGCGATCTAAACGAGGGAAAGGAAGAAACAAGAATATTTGTAAAATTTATAATCAGAAATTCTTTCCTTTTTTTCCACGAAATGTTCGATCATCATATTTTCTATCCAAGATTTTTGATTCTCAGAATTTCGGTTCACGGTTTATCGTTGGATACCGAGATTGTTGGCTCGTGAAAATTTCAGTGGCGACGTTTACCGTTTCATTTCTGCGAGAAATTAAATCGGCCTCGATTTAAAGTGGCAATTCCGCGTGAGGGACGAGGGCAACACGAGGGGAAATGGAATATACGCTTTCCAGAGCTCATCTCGTTTAATCTGCAGGATTTACAATCGTTTCGTGGTTGTTGAAAGAATACTTGGATACGCCGGATATCCAAATGAATCGTGAAGAATTAACCACGCTTTCCAATTTGCAATTTTGATCTTTTTTCGAAGGATAGAGGATAAAAAGGAAAGAAAATAGGGAAACACGAATAATTTTCTGATGCAATTTAGAATTGAACGAAGATTGGAAGATTTATAAAGATTTGATTAAAATCTATGAATTCTATTTACAAAGAGATTTAAATTAAATGAAATTAATGAAGAATGATGTGATATCTATGAAAAATAATTATTCTATTGCACAAGATCAATATATTTGTAATTTTAGAGTATACATTTGTAAAACTACATTTGTAAGGATTAATAAAAATTAGAATATAAAGAGCAGTGGTTGAAGAGAGAGAAATAAAATATTGTTTAAAAATTAAATAAAATAACTTTCCAGCTAATTACTTATTCAAATTGCAATTCAATATTTATCAATAATGAAAGATCTGAATTAATCTTAATTTAAAAAAAAATCAATAACCAAATTTCTGAAATGGAAAATCTTACGATCAATAACAACCTCAATAATTGACATCAAGAAATTTTCGTGGAAACGAAACCTCCACAAAATCTTGGAGAAAATTTTACGAATAAAATCCCCGGAAAAACTTCCAAATTAAGAAACTTTCCAACGTATCAATCATCATAATTCAATAAATTCAATTCTCTTGAAATTGAATCCTGCTAATATAGCCAAGAGACCTTCGAACTTATCTTTGCACTCTCCTCGCAACAGGTGTTTCAACGCTCGCCATCCATTCGACTTAATTTTTAATTTACACCTGTATTTTTATTGCGACATCTTGTTCGCAGGAAGTTCGTTCCTTCGCGTTAATTTGCCCGAGCAAATCTAACTTTGCGATCTCCTGGGGCTGAAGACGCGAAGAAAAGAAGAAGGAAGAGGAAAGAAAGAGAAGGGGGAGAAAAAAGGAAAGGAGGAGGAGGAGGAGGAGGAAATTTTTCAAATAAAATTTCGAATTTCTTCGAATAACGTCCCTCTTCCGTCCATTAAAGTTTTTCTATAACTCTTGGATGACAAGCAGGCTAAGAATTTGGGATCATTGGACCGAGAGGATGTCGAAGAAGTGGAAAGAGATAGGACGAGTTATCCGGTCAGATTTGGTCGATCACGTGTCTTGTTATCGTGGCGTGTTATCGATTTAGTATTCAGCTAGCATCAACACCACGTGTACATTGCGTGACTGGCTTGTTTTATTTTTTGAGAATATTTTTTTTTTTTTTGCGATTTATGAGCGAAATGGAATTTGCAAGTGAACTTAATATTAATTAAAAAATAATTGCATTGACTTTGTTTCGCGTGTTTAATGCGATAAATGTTCTTTTTTTTTTTTTTTTTTTACGGAATTTCTAATTTAAAAATTTTAAAAATTAAATATCCAAAGAAGGAAAACTTTTGCTGTTCTATTTAAAGGTATAAATGTCACTTTAAATCATTTAAAAAAAAAATCATTCACACCTTCTTCCTTAATTAAATTAAGAAATAAATATTACCTGAAGCTTACCTAATAAAATAGTTATTATTGTCGCTTTAAAATATTTCCTGCAATTTATTCTAAATGAATCGTATAAGCTTGTTTCATTTCCACAATATCGTCACAGATTAAGTTCGCACCGATAACGAAGTAGATGATTATCAATATATGTGTAGATGTATGCAAACAAATACGCATCACTGGATCAATAACGAAGAAGTAATACGAAATACGTCTAATTCGGTGACGGTGAAGGTTAATTCAATTATTGTTTGAAAAACGTTTTAAGTGAGCGACAGCTGATGAAAATTCCATTGAAAAGCTTTGATTAATTGCGGATATTCGATGATGCAAAATTGTGATTTCAGTTTTTTATTTTTTTATTTTTATTTTTTGTAATTTTGTAATTGTAATGTATTTTATTATTCATCATTTTTTATTGTTTTTTTTTAAATTTTCAGTGACTTAATTTTAATTCGAATTCGAGGATTTATGGAATTCCTTTATTATTTTTTTGAAAATAATTTTCTTGTACAGTTATTTTATTTATTCAGTTTTTTTTTTATTAGATATTGATTAATAATAGTGGTACAATTATTTCCCAACTCTTTCTTGAGTTATTCTTGACTATATAACTATTTTATCAAAAATGTTTCTTCAAATAACAATTTTCTTTTCACTCTCTTTAATCTTCTTTTCTAAGATTTATATATATATATATATATATTTTTTTCTAAAGAAAATCTCATATTCAAACGAATTTCACTTCTCGTTATCGCAATAGAATTATTCAAATTAACTTTTCTAAAATTATTAAATGCAAATTTACTCCTAGCTTCTTTCTTTCTTATCCAAAAATATTCTCATTCTATTTTTTCAAAACATTTTCTCTTATCTTATTATCTTTATTCACATAAATCTATTTCGTAAGTGTATCTTCTAATTCTTTTTAAAAAAATTTTAAAGGAAAAAAATCCATCTCTTCGTTCATCAATAATAATAAATAATAATCAAATAATAATGATAAAACTTCACCAATAATAACACAATTTTACTTCTTTCACAAATAAGTATTGAGATCATCATTCTTTGTGTGTCGATGATCTGTCGGAACAAAATTGAAGCACATTCGAATATTAACCAAATATTATGAAAAATGGAGTGGTCATAGATTGCGACAGGAAGTCATCCGCTATGATACGCTCTGCGACCGGAAATGGGATTAGAAGTGCATGCCTGATGGGCAAACCCATCCACGATTCGTTAATGAAATTTTAAGCTGTCTTTCGTTCAGAACCCTTGTTGATCGACTCCCACACACATTTTCCCTTCTTAGTTTTGCCCTCCTCTTCCGGTTTAATGAGATTGGACGTTGATGAAATGGACGAGTCATCCCTGGGGTATCCTTTGCAAGATTAGGCACAATCGTTTAGATCGAAACTGTTTTTTTTTTCCAGAATATTTTTGAAAATTTACATCTCTTTCTTCACTCGTTACTTCTATAGATTCATAAAATTAAATCTCCTGTTTCGTTGATCACTTTTTTTGTAAAGATTAAGTGAATTTTTCAATTTATTTTAGCAATTGTGTATCCTTCACGAGAGAGGAATTTTAAAATATTAAAATTTGAAGAAAATTTAAGATTCGATGCCTTGCAGAATATCATATTGTACATTTGCTTTCTTTTAAAAGAAAGCCATTTTCTTTTAAAAGAATCGAAGGAAAGGCGAGAATTTGGAAGAGATTCGAACGAGTTGTATTAGCCATGATTACCATCAATCTCATCGACAGGTCATCGAACGTAGACCAACTTATACCGGAAACGAGATTAACGTCACCTTTCCATATTTCTCCTCGGGGATGGAAAAACATCTCGTACAGCGTGAAATTAAATCTCATCCGAGAGAATCTCATATCTTCTCGTGACTACTTTTCCAACATTATACCAATTTCCGGTATGGCAAATACTTTCATTGGAAATCTTAACTGTAAAATTAAGATTTCGCATAACGATTCGCTTGAAAAATTTTTGAAAAATTTTATTTTTCCTAATTTAAAATTATTTGAAATTATTATTTAGTTTTTTGTTTAAAAAAAGAATTGTTAAGATTATTCATTGTTGAAATTATTGTTATCTTTAGTAATTTTAGAAAACTGTGTGCTTCGTTGGTAATGAAAGGATCAAATGAATATTCGAAGTTCGAAAGGGATAAATGGTTGATGAATCATACGTGACGAATCAAAGAACATTCAATACAAAAATTCATAGAACAAAAAAATAATGAAATAGAAAATTCGTCTATTTTTTTCTTGTACAAACTTGTGCATCATTCTATATATTTTTTTGAAGATCGAAATTTAACCTCACTTCATACCATTTCAACAAGGGAAGATTCTTTATAAAAGAAAATGTAGAATAAAAAAATTATATATTTTTTTTTTAGACCAAAACTTGTGTATAAAAAAGCTTAATCAAAGGAAATTGCTACTTTAAATATTGTTATACCATTAACTTCCATGAGATAAGATATTTGATATTTAAACAGGCAAGAAAAAAGGAAGGAAAAAAGAA